TTATAAAGCAAATGTGAATAGTCCTTTTACATGCAAAACTTACTGCCTGGATGTTCTGGGTGGTTGCCAGGGTGTTGTTCTGTGGTTGCTAAGGTGTTCCAAGTGGTTTCTAGTCTATTGCTATGTGGTTGCTTACTGGCTGAAGGCAAAAGTGCCCAAACCCAAATGTTTACAATACTCTGGTCTCAAGTTCCTCCATCAGCACAAGTTTGTGAGATTTGTTTCATTGTCTGCCAAGCGAAAATCATAAGTCAGATCACTCAAAAAAAACAGCAACGGCACACCTCTCCCTAACAAGCCACATGATTTGAGATATCATTCATATCCATAGCACAAAAGGCTTAGCGTTACATGCCAAAATTTAATACTCAGGGTTTGTTGAGTTATAAATATTAGCAATGCTTACTTTGGCGCATGCCAACAAAAAGAAAAATCTTGATATCAAAAGCACAATTATTTGAGAAATCAGTGAACCTTCTCTTCAAGACTCATATATTATCAAATAACTGGGAAATGTGATGAACTTGTCCATTTATGGGAGCACTTTAGTGACCTTACGGTGAACAACTGAGCTCCTGAATGCCTCACTCTTGGACTTTATCACAGAAAAACAGTGTGTTCAGATCTCCAAGAGCCAAAACACTAAAGCAGCATATCCAGAGCTAATCATTCAGTCCTCAACAGCACCTGTTTACTGCAGTTAAGTAATGGCAGCTCTAGGGCCAAACGGAGCAAAGACCTGGCAAGAACTGGCCACTTTTTATTGTCAGGCACAATAGAAGAGCATTATCCAGCTGTATTTAGCTGTTTGTTAATGTGTTCGGGGCAGTCGTCCAGCGGCGGAGGACACCGACCATCAGAAGGAACCTTGTTGTGTTCGGACTGGCACTGAACGAGCGCAAACACAAAACCCTGATGAACTAGCAGCGGTTAATACATCTAAAAAAAGTCAGAAATGTCAGCCAGCCTGAGAGCGATTGTCTTACGAACTTTAAAGCCCACTTTTCTTCTCGCCGTCTTTTTCTCGTCTATCTTCTTGAGAGGTGGGATGAATAGGCTCTCTGCTCTTTATACACTTGTCTTCCGCTGGTTCGGGGACTTAGAGGAGGGCAGCGGATTTTAAATAAAGCTAGCAGACGGCTGACATGCGTGGCGAAGGGGTAATGGCAGGGGCATTGTGGTCCGGGAACAGGAGGCGGGGAGACCCGAAGCAAAAACACTTTAGCGCTGAGAGGACTTCTTCTGAAAGAGCCCCGGCCGATGACAGGACAAAACAAGGGGCCCATAGTCATCAATTAGAAATCAGCAAAACACAGCTGGAGCCAAAGGGCCTGCTGGAAGTCAAGGGCTTAGGAATTTTAAGGGGAGGATGGGAGGAAAAAAGAGTACGAACAGCATTCAATAAAGGCTAGAGGAGAGAACGGGATTGTGGGAGTTGTGATTTAGAGACGGGGAAGGGAGGATGACGGGACTCGGGTCTTATGCAAGCTCAAGGAACGGATGGGAAACAAACGTTCGAGGGATTTCGAACAGCAAAGACGGCTGCCGATCCACCAGTTTCACCGCATCTCGCGTGATTTCACAGTTGTCGCTGCCCTGTAAATTTCTGCTTGTTTTTCTTTAGAGCTCTTTAACAGAAGAGATGCCAAACGTCACATGGGGATTCGGCCTGATTTGGACTGCTAAATGCCTGTGGCTCTGTGTCAAAAAAAAAACAGAAGGGCAAAAAATCGAATCTTGGCACTCTATCCTGAAACATTTCCCAGGAGGAAGGGCAACATGACAACATTTAGTGTTTTCCGACTTCTGGAAGATCTTTAGCCCAGGACTCTTAAATGTAAAAAGGGTGAATACTACATCAAATATACCGTTTTTAATTAGTCTTTTTGACATGTTTTTTTTTTTTTTTTCATTTAAAAGATATAAAAATACTTGAAACAAGATACATATACTATAATATATTTATATAATATTTATATATATTTATATAAATATAAAAAGTGCATAAGATATTAAAACTCTTGAGAATGCATCTTTTAATGTGAGTGTATTTTGTCCGCATTTGTTTTAAGTATTAAAAAAACAAGTGAAAATAAATCTGCCAGTGCAGTACGACAATATTATTTTTGTATTCAAGATGTAAGTTTTCGAAAACAAGTCTTACGCAATGTTGCCTGTTAAATTTAATTTGTTTGAAGGATTTTGGGATATTTTAAATGGAAGACAAGTAAAAAAGACTAATTAACTAAAAAAAGACTAATTATGTTTTTTTTTTATATTAAAATGAATGCATGTATTTAAAATAAATGCACAAAACTATTAAGCAGCACAACTGCTTTTAACATTATAAATAATTAGAAATGTTTCTTGAGCAGCAAATCAGCATATTAGAATGATTTCTGAAGGATCATGTGACACTGAAGTAATGATGCTGAAAATTCAGCTTTGCATCACTAGGAATAAATTACATTTTAATATATATTCAAATAGAAAACAGTTGTTT